GAAAATGTGAAATTAGAATCACAATGTATGTAACATAAATCGCTGTTACATCGGTAAAAAATGTTTATCTCTAATGAATGATTGGTTCGTTCTATAATTTTTAAAACTGTTTAAACTAATAATAACAGCCAAGGAAGTTGGATGAGTAATTTAACACAACTCGAATTGTACCAATTTTAAAAATTACAATTTTATGTATGTAAATCTTTGAGTTAGAAAATCTCTTCTCTGTAGCTTTAAACTATTAATTCTTTCGTACGTATTTATTATTTCTACAGATAGTTTATTAATGGAAAATGACATTCGCTAATACATCATTACAACCCTAATTGCGATAAAAATTGTAATTATTTCTGCTATATATATTTATTTTAAGCATACATAAAGACATCCGTACATATCGTTGGACCTTGAGAATCCCGGGAAAAAATTGGAACAAGTCTTCTTCCGGTTCCGAACCCGCGATAATTTAAATAGTTCGCTACACATTAATTATATATAATGTTGGATTTTCAATACAATCAAACAAATTATGAAAGATCTATTGAAGTAAATTGTAATATTTTAAATTGAGCATTGGCATCTTATACTCTTGAAATTTGTGAATAAGTTTTTTGTATAAACATTATTTAATCGTTTGTATCTAAACAATTAAAATTATTATTAATATAGATATTTAATTTAAATCATTTATTGAAACAATTTAAATGAAATAATGCATTGGTGTTTATATTTCCGAATGAAACTACGGACTGGAAAATACTAATCTAGAATCTAGAGAGAAACTTTCCTTTCACGTACTCATTTCACGTGGTCTCTACAGAGCCGAAGAGTTTTTGAATACTTAAAAGAAGGTTAAGTCTGTGTCATGTATTGATTATCGAACGAATATTAATTCTCTGAGAGCATCGGACATTTATTATAGAGTAATTTCTAAATAAAAAATGACGGTAAGTTGTACACGGTATTATACATTTAATATATTTCTATTTTCATTAATCTACTGTTTAGAGACCACATGACTTATCATTTTCATGTTATTCAATATGTCACTATTTACAGTATATAAATAAATTTACTCATGACACAATAAATTATTACACGAGTTGCTTTTGAAAATTTTAAAAACTTAGATCACTTATTTACAGACCAAGAAAGTTAAAGTAGCGACAAAAGGAGCAAAACAAATTGTGGAGGAGAATAGGACAACATTAAACTTTTATCGGAACATGATTGTTGGAGCATTAGGAATATACTTTGTCACTACAATGTTATTTTTTGCTTTGACAACATTGTCAATAGTAAGCTATTTAATTTCGGTTTATGTTACCAGTGTGAACAATATTAGGCTATAGATTTTTATACAAAATTTCATTTTTATACTTAATGTGTGTATTTTGATTGCAGACATTAACAATATTTTCTGGAATTGTATACATAGGAAGTTATCAATTTATGAAATACATAGCACAAGCTTCATATACAGAATCAGGACAGCTATCGGATTCTGGAATCGATCTTAATATGGAAGGAGGTATAGCAGAGTAAATATCAAGAACTCAATTAATACTCTCTTGAAATAATGTAATACTTTATTACATTCAAAGTTATGTTTCTTGAATATAATAATATTTCTCTGTCCTATTTCAGACATGTAAAAGATTTAATCATATTAACATCAGGAGTACAAGTACTTTCCCTCATATCAAATTATTTTTGGCTGTTGTGGTTCCTTGTAAGTGTATATGAAAACAACTTCAATATAAAATAGTAACACATTGTTACAAATTATAAAATCTTTCAGGATAACTTTTCATCAATTCTTATACTCTCTTTGTGCAGATTTAGTTATATACACTATCAGTTGAAATGAAAGCAATAAAGCACGTTATTACTAGGATTTGTAATTCTTACTATCTAATAATTAGCAATGTATTGTTACAGGTACCACTAAGAGGAGGTTGGATGCTATGGAAACAAATATTAGCTCCATGGTTCTTTGCTCCAGCTCCCGAACAACCTGAGATGAGCGAGAAGAAACAACGGAAATTGGACAAACGGATGGCCAGACGGCATTAAAATTTTCTTTAGAAATTCGCTTTTTAAAATACACATTTGAAAATTTGACGGGAGCGGGTTAAGCTTGAGCAAAATTATGAAACAAAACCGTCTTTGTTTCAGCCTGCGTTGTTGTATACACATTTATTTTCTTTTTATGCGTATGAAAAGACTATTGCCTTTTATACAAACTTTTATACAACTTATAAAATCAATTTCATAGAAATTGAACGTTCATGAATGCTATCACCATTCATTTCGGCAACTGTCTTTTCGGTGTTCGAGAAAGAAACTTTATAATGAAAAGATTAATATAAAAATAAATTTTATAATTTATAACGTTTGTCTATACCATTTTCCCTGTTTTTAATTTCTATTCTTTTCTATTTCATATATATATATATAATATAAACGACTGTTACTTTCTCTGACAATGTAGATAAATTCATTTTTACAAGAACTTAAAGAGTAAGTAGTTAAACGTTTCTTCTCAAATGTACATATGTACATACATACAAGTTTAAACATGTACATTGATGTGTAGTTACAAAAACAAATTAAATTGATTAGTATAGGAAGGTTTGGATTAGAATAAGAACATTGAAATTGTAAACATTTTAGTAATCTCGAGATAAAATGCTAGATCCAAGAAAATATATATTAAATGAAATATAATGACTAATCCGAACCTTGCTGCATTTTACATGCGAACAGATAATATAAATTAAATACTCTTAT